GAATAGCACAAGCAGATAGGAACAAAATCAGAAAGGTTAAGGTACAACATGTATTACACGTAGCAAGTGACATAAGGCAGTAAGAAGAAGGTCTTTAAATATATTAGGAATAATAGAAAGATGAAGGAAAGTATAAGTCTCCCAAGGAAAGCTAATATCTGATGATATCAAGAAGTTTAAGGTTTATTTTGCCTCAGTCTTCATTAAACAAGTTAATGGTAACAAGATACTCAGTACGATTAATATTAACAACAAGGGGGAATGAACACAAGCTAAAACAGAGGAAGAACAGGTTAAAGCAGAGGTTCTCAAACTGAGGTTGAGACCCCAAAATGGGTCACAACATTGTTTGAATGGGCTTGCCAGGGCTAGTGTTAGACTGACTGGGGCCAAAGTTGAAGCGCGAACACCACTGCCTGGGGCTCAAGCTTTGGCTTCAGACCTAGGTGTTGGGGTTCAGGTTACAGGCCCTAGCCCAGGGTGATGGGGTTCAGGCTTGGTTTAGGCCTCTTCGCTGCAGTGTCAAAGTTTTGGCAGGCTCAGATGTCAGTCCCTCCTCCTGGGGTTGTATAGTAATTTTTGTCTCAGAAGGAAGTCATGGTGCAATGGAGTTTGTGAACCCCTGTGTTAAAGGATATTTAGATGTTAGATCTGTTCAAGTCAGAAGGATCTGATTAAATTCATCCTCAGGTCCTTAAGGAACTAGCTGAAGTAATCCAGGAATCATTAGCAGTTTTCTTTGAGAATTCCCAGATGATGGATGAAATCCCAAAGGACTGGACAAGGGGCAGACATACTAGCTAACCTTAAAAGGGGGAACTTAAAAGACTCAGGGAATTGCAGACCAGTCAACCTAACTTCAGCACCTGGAAAGATACTGGAATAAATTATTAAACAAGCACCAGAGGATAATAGGGTTATAAGGAATAGCCAGCATGGATTTGTCAGTCCTGGGTCTGGTACTAGTCAATATTTTCATTGTGATTTGGATAATGAAGTATGTTTTTTTCAGACTTGCAGATGGCATCAAACTGGGGGCAGTTGCAAGCATTTTGAGGGGCAGGATTTTAATTCAAAATAACTTCACAAATTGGAGAATTGATTGGAAATCAAGCTGCAATTCAGTATCAACAAATGCAAAGTACTATGCATAGGAAGGGAAAATCAAATGCACTGCTACAAAATGAGGAATCAAAGGTGACAGTACTGCTGAAAAGGATCTGAGGCCTAAACCAAAGGAAGAGGCCTAAACCAAAGGATATGTTAACACTAGATCATAGATTGAATACGAATCAACAGTGCAATGCAGGTGCAAAAGAGCTAATCTCATTGTGGGGTATAAAACAGGAGTGTTGTAAGAAAGACATGGGAGGTGATTGTCCTGCTTTGCTTGGCACTCATTGATGGGGCCTCGGCTGGAGCTCTGTGTCCAGTTCTGGGTACCACACTTTAGGAAAGATGTGGACCAATTGAAGAGATTCCAGAGTTACCAAAAAAACAAAAAAAGTTTGTTAAACCTGATCTAAGGGAACTGGCCATGCAGAGAAAAAAAAGTCTGAAAGAGGACCTGATAAGTCTTCAGCAATGTTAAGGGCTGTGATGAAGGTGATTAGTTGCTCTCCGTGTCCACTGAAAATAGGACAAGCAATGGGCTTAATTTGCATAAAGGAGACTTAGATTGGATATTAGGAAAAGCTTTATCACAATAAGACTAGGCTTCCAAAGGAAGTTGTGGAATCCCCCTCACTAGAGGTTTTTAAGAACAGGTTGGACAAACACCTGACAGGAATGGGCTAGGATTACTTGGTCCTGTCTGAGCACATGGAGCTGTATTCGATGACTTCTTGAAATTCCTCCCAGCCCTCTATTTTTATGATTCTATTAAAACAATAGTACCTGTCTGGAAACTAACCAGATGGATTCTATGATAGCTTTGGCTTCAGATCATGGCACGTGCTAGAGTGTAACAGCTGACTTGATAAGAAGGTAAGATTTCAATCTAGAAAGGATTGCATTTTATTCTGTTCTTTGTTGTTTGGTGTGTTCATCATATAAAGCTATGTGGTTTTTTAAAAAGACTTGCTGGTTTTCCAGAACAACCTGATTTCTGCCCTGCTATATAGGATCACATAAATTGTATGTACTGACATGACATGCTCCATGCTTTCGTCTGGGGCAATAGAAAGGGATACGATGAAATATAATTTGACAGTGCATAATTCAGGTTATGTACACTGACTTACTGGCAGAGCAGTATTAATATTCATTTAATGGGCTAGAGTTACAGTTGTTATGGGCACCTGAAGCCTTCATAACTTGATTGTTAGCACACTTTGCTGGGGAGAGGTCGAGGGTATTACCAAATAAGAAGAGGTTAGGAGCAAGAAAAAAAATCAACCAGAACTGCAAGAAGAGCTTCCACATTGTAGTTACAAAATAGCCCATCAATATAGTCGTGTGTGGTGGATATGTTCTGTGGCATTATGCAGCAGACCAGGGTTTATACCTACGCCTGGTACCTTGCTCTGTGATTCTCCAGTGATAGCTACATGTAGTAATCTATAACCATGTTTGCATGGACTACCAGTCAAACCACATAACATGCTAGGCTGCTCAGTTCTTGTTTGACAAATAACAGTCTATGCAGTCTGCAGCTGCTATTTCTGGAACTACTAATGGTTCTTACAATGATTGTATATTCAAATGTAAGTGACGCATAATCTTTCCAGCCTCTGCAACTTGAACATTTGTAGCAACACAGTTTGGTGCATATTTCTGAAGATTCTGTTTTGACACAGTGCCCAGTGCTCTTAAATCATAAAAAAGTCTTTGTCTCCAAAGAGCTCACAGTCTAAAAAACAAAGATCAGCCAAGAAAACACTGATATGATTACTTTGAATATTTCATAGCAGGAGATGGAAGTGGTGATTAACATATTGACATGGGTTATAGTTTGTTTTCCTCACAGAAAAAGTAGAGTTTCAGTGAAGAGGTGAGATGTTCAGATGGTGTGTACTCAGCACACTGCCTTTATATAAATTTTCAGTTTCCAAGCAAAATTTTCTACTAACAAGGCAAAGTAAGGTATTCATCAGCCACCAAGTCTGAATCATTTAATGAAAGCTGGGGTTGTGTTTTTATGCCACCACCAACAAACAAAAAAAATCTGAAAAATATCTCAAAAGTTTGAAAACTCTCTTTCCCGGTAGGGGAGGGGAGGCACGCTTCTCGGTTCAGACCAAGAAATTTCAGTCTAAATTCAGTTCTTTTTAGAAAGTTCCAGATGAGCTGAAAAGAGGATTTTTGAATGTAAGTGACATGAGGCGCTATCTATAACTCGCATGACCGATTTTGGAACCTCTCTCCTAATGTTAGCCTTTCTACACCCTGTGCGAAATATTCTTCCTGTCTGAGAGCACAATGCTGCTCAGCCACAGGATTTTGCAAGCTGTTGTACTCTCCCCCTCACTCCAGTGTGTCCTATGTGTGCTGCGCTATTTCTGTGATGGTCCCTTCTCTAACACCTCTCCCTGTTCTCTGATATACTAGGTTTCTATAGTGAAAGCTGCCTCACTATTGTGCCTGCTGTGTTATTTTGAATTCTCTGGGTTATGAATTCTCCTTGTCATATTGTTGCTGCCTTTCCCTGATGCAGGCATTCCTTCCTTTTTAACAATAGTTGTATATGCAGAGTAGCAGGTGTCTTAATCCTCCTGCTTTGATATTCAGGCATTTCACCTTCTTGGTGCATGTATTCTCCTGAGATACTGTTAGAAATGTTAATAATTATTGGTGGACATGCTGTTTAAGAGTGGATTCCATTTCATGTTGACATCTGGGATGACCGTCCAGCTTTTAGCAGGGTCAGTGTTTGTTCTCTGAGAGCACATTGAAAGGCTTTTGATTGAGAATGTTTGCAATTTTTATCCAAGGACTTGGCAGGACAGAGCTGAGGCAGTAGGCTTTCACTCTGTGCCTACTCCTAGTCTCTCTAATATTGAAGTCTGGTGAAAGGCAAATTCAATTTTAAAACAGTGGAGCTCTTGCACGGATGATATATTGTTGTGCTTCATGGAGTCATAGCAGAAAAGACGGAAAAGATTTATGGGGTCATTTTCACCACCCTTCCCAAAGCAGAGTTTATGGACACAGGCCTTCAGGAGACCTCTGCTTCCCTGTCACCTTATGAGCCAGAATCTGGAATGGTGATGCGGGTCCTTAAATATAAATTAAAGTTGCAAAGCTTATTGACTGATCTTAACCCCATATGTACTGACACAGGTGATTTTTGACCATTAAACATTGTTCCCCATTCTAAACATCTATAATCCTATTAAGAACATGTGTACTTTCCATGTTTGCTTCTCGGGATCCTAATGAGCAGGTTCCCATGCCCCAAGAGAATCAAATTCTCACTGCCATGTTCCCCATCAGGGAGAACTCAGTTCCATAAAGAAGGGACCCTTCCAGCATTGCTTTCCCTAACTTGAAAAAGAGAGCATGGTTATGCTAAACCTGTAAGATAGGATGGCTATTTAGAGGTGATGCCTTGTGTAGGCAGTTGAGACCTTTTAGACCTTATTTTAAATGCTGACATTTACCAGCAGGAGATAATTATTCACCTCTCTTCACTTACTCTCCTGGTGTCTTATACACTCAACATAGTGTTAGAATGAAGATTCTGAAGCTGAAAACCCACAATGAACAGGAAAAACTCAAAAGCAGTCTTCCTGTCAGTGATTGTACAGCTCAGTAACTGCTTCTCCCACTGCCTCAGTCTGCTCCTGTCTGTTATCTGTGCTGATGAGGGATCTTACTCATCTGTAGACTGTTTCCCTTGTTTCGGCTTCTCCATTTCTTGTATTTTCTTTTCTTCTTGTTGTTTCCTTTCTTTCTCACTCTTTATGCTTTTTGTCCTCTGCTTGTCTTTTATTTCATTCCTGTCCCCCTCTTCCTTGCCTCCTCCTCTCCTACCTCTTCCTCATTTGGTCTTATTGAAGTTGACCCCAATGCCGGGACACCACGTCGTAGACCTCTCTCCTTCTGCCCTTGCTGTGCCCATGAAGGTAATGTAACCTCACGCAACCTGTCTTCCTCAGATGAATTTTCATAGCAGCACTAGTCAGCTGGTGACAAAAATATCTCTTATATCCAACCTCCAAAGCCCTCCTGTCTCCTTCCCTCCGTCTCAATAGCAATCTCTGTAGCAGGCTTGTATGAGTGTGCAATTTTTTAAGGTACAGTATCCCTTTCTCTGTTTTGAATTGGGGATGGGGTAGTCTCAAGGTCACTGGGCATTGATTTGTAATGGCAGCAGAAGCAGTGTCCTACCCTAAAGCTCCTGTTTTCATTTGGTGTATTTGATTTCTCTATTCTTTGTCATAGGTGTCTGGGAGATGGGGCAAGGGATGAGGGAAGAGAATCTCTTTCCTTAAATGACTATTTAATTTGACTATTTAATATGATGGATTAAAGGAATACTGTGTCCTTACAAAGACTGGTTTGCAAAACATCCCTGAGCTTTCAAAAACCAACCAACCTAAACCAGACTGGTCTTCCGTGATCCATGTCTTGCTGAATGCATTCTTGACTTTGTCCCGGATGGAGTTTGCCATAGTAGAGTTTCCATTGCCAAGGCATGGGGTAGGGGGTGGAATGTGATCACAGTTAATTTCGCTAACCACTTATTCCGCTTTCCATGGTGCTCTCACATTGACTGTCCACCCTGCCCTCCCCACCCCTCCCACATCCCTCTGCTCATTGGCTGTTAAAAACAAATACATACATAAAGAAAAGCTATTCATGGGTTAGTAGCAAGGTGTATTTGGCTGTTTCTTAGAGGCATTTATTTTATATCCTGGCACTGGAAAGGGTGGGGAGATTCCCAGTGCTTTCATGGCGCCACTGCACTGGACATCTGCATGTCTAAGCTCCCCCTCCCATGGCCACCTGGGCATATTGTGCATAGATGCTCGGAAAGGATTGCTTGGAACGGAGCAACAGACTAGTATAAAATCCAGAGAGCCAGAATCTCTTGCGGGGGAGAGGGGTAGTATCCCCTAAATATTTACTATTTCTGGCTTTCAGCAGCTAGGCAGCAGCTTCACTGCTGCTTAGCAAGAAATACTGGGTCTTCCATGTGACTTCAGTGTAAGGGCTGGTAGGAGCTAGGGATAGAGGCAGGGCACAGATATGAATTCACAGGTCATTGGTGTGGCACATATTTCCAACTTCTCCGTATCTGGTATTTAAATAGTAAATCTTCTGTCTGGTTATTTTTGGCCTCTAAAAGAGTTAGGGTTGCCAGATGGTTTCAACAAAAATACCGACACACTTGACATTACATCACAATCTACATTACATCTCATTTAGAATATACTGGACATTTATATTTTCTCATTTATATTTTCTCAATTTGTTTCCCGAACAGAAAGCTCAAATATTGGACTGTCCGGTTCAAAACCGGACACCTGGCAACCCTAATAAGACTGCTTAAAAGTAAGAGACACTGCTTTTAATATAGATGCTAAGTGTCTATAAAGTATAAGTAAACAGATATGTCAATTAATCTGGGAAACCTTGTTAGTCTGTGGAGAGTAAGAGGAGATGATTTTCAGGCATGATGCTGATAGAGGCTTGTGTTATAAACACCAACAATGCTGTGCTCAAATCTCTGCACCTTTGAGCTCAGTTTGAAGGCCCCGTCTTGCAACAACCCCCTGCAGACAGGCAACTTCCTAGTGATTTCAGTGGGACTTTCTGCCTGCCGAGGGGTCCCCCTGCATGTAACTCATTGCAGGATCACAATAGGAATTACCTTGGAAGAGCTTTTATGGCAGTGGTGGGCAATCTATGGCCTGTGAGCCGCACAGGGCCCATCAAGGTAACCCACTGGCGAGCTGTGAAACGTTTTATTTATGTTGAGCAGCTGCAAGCACCATGCAGCTTGCAGTGGCTGCAGTCTGCCTTTCCTGGAGAATAGGAGCTGTGGGGGCCGTGCCTGAAGACAAAGGGGGCCACTGGGATGTGCTGGCCGCCACTTCCCACAGCTCCCATGGGCCAGACATGGCAAACTGTGGCTGCTGGAAGCTGCAGAAGGTGATATGTGCCGACCGTCAATGTAACTAAATTATCTCGCAGACTGCCAGTGGATTATCCTGGGTGTGCACCTGTGGCTGGTGCACTGCAGGTTACCCACCACTGTTCTTGGGGTATTGTGCAGTCTGAGACATATCTTGAGTCAGTGCAGAGAGTTCAAGAGAACATAGTGTAGCTATTTCATCTGCACTACATGTGACATCATCGGAACCTTGCCTTTGGATTATGAGATGAGGATGAGGTTGTTTCTTTTAAAATAAAATCAGATTTGCAAAAAGTCAGTTCTCGCTTTCTCCCTTTTATTAGCAAGTGTAGCATGGCTTTCTGAGTGTGTCATTCTAGCACTGATGAGAAATTCCAGGAATAACGTATTTATAGGATATAGTGAGCTGCTGTTAATAGATGCAGTAAGCAAAAGACTCACCAATGAGAATGGAGATGTAGCAGGAAGAAATTACAGGAGAAGAGAATTCATCAACAGATGAGCCAGTGAAAAAGAAGGTTTTCAATAGAGGTGGCAAGGAGCCACTCTTAGCCAGTAAAAGAACAGTGATTCAGTTGATATGACTGAAGGACTGGAGGATATAACATAATGGGTACACAGGGTTTGGCAGGGAAGAGGTTCCAGTCAGCATACCTTAAAGACCATAACATGGAGGAGGTGCAAAAAAGTTGTTACAAAGTTCAGTTTAATTTCAGGAAGGCTAAATAGAAATGAGCCACTAAATTATGGGTTTACCAGAATGAGAAGACAGGGGAGGGGCAGTAGCAAAAAAGGATTCCGAACGTGTTGATCCAAGGAGGAGAGAACTCTTTAGAAGTTGACATCTACAGGTCTGTGCCCTCCTCTTTCTATGTGCTGTAGGCAAACTAAATGGACCCGGCTTGGGAGTGCTCTGGCAGCATCTTGCTCGGCTTTCTTTGCACATTTTGCCCTCTTTTTTTGTTCCTGGCTGTTGGGCTTGTGGGAATGGCAAGGCATCGTCGTGAAAACTTACAGGTTTTCTCTCTTGGCAGGCATGGGGAAGAAGGATGATCCGAAGCTGATGCAGGAGTGGTTCAAGCTGGTGCAGGAGAAGAATGCTTTGGTTCGCTATGAGTCTGAGCTGATGATATTGTGAGTGAGCAAGAGGTCTTTCTGCATGGGGTAGCGCAGCTTCAGATTACTCTCAGATAGCACTGGCAGGGCCTGCCTCCAGCTCTGTCTTGGCTGTGATGGCAAAAGGCCAGTTATATGTGATCAGAAGCCTCTTGGACAAAATGCAGTTCCCAGCCAGTAAGTTAATAAAAGTACATTTTGAAAGAATCTCTAGAACAAAAAGAGCTAATGATGAGTGGAAGCACAAAAGCTACAGATATGCCCTGCGTGTGAATGCTTAGCCCAAGATATAAGCTCTCCCAGCGGCCTCTCAGGCTGTTTCTGTACAGAGCATCACTTGCATGCCAGCTCATCCTCAGTCTGTAGTTTTAGTGACAGGTGGGCTTTGGCAGATAACAGTGCAACCCATTCGCTTGCTGGTGCAAGGTCCTTTTTTGCATGCAGCTGTGCTGTCTGCATTCTGATCCCTTCTATAAATAGATTCTGTAGCCCTCACTTCTCTGTCTACAGTGGGACCCCTAACTGGGCCCAGATCCTCCAGCTCTTTTCCAGATTAGGAACACCAGGGGCTTACTTAGTGTTTATGCCACCAAATGCTTTACATTCTACTGAAATAAGTTTGTGAGCAGGCATGCCTTGACTTTGGTTTCAAAAGCTTCAGGGCACTCTGGGATGCTACTACCAGAGAAGCACTAAAATGCTGCCCAGATTAGAATCTGAGGAGCCAGTGCCCTCGGATATCCATTACTTGGTAGGTAACTTTTTCTTCAGAGCGGGATATAGCAGAAGGGAGACTTGCATAGAGGTAAAATGTGGCTTGAGCATTGACTGCTGATGCACCTGCTCCTTCACACTGTCTCTGGCTTAGATTTTAAATCTAGCCGATGGCACTGTGAATAAGATCAGTTTAAGAAAGCAGGATGGCTGGTTGCTGCCCAGTCATGTGAAAAAGGGGCTCTTTCTCCATCTCCCCACCCCAACCGAACGCTGGTGGTGGGGAAGCATTAAGATTACATTTTAATCAGGAAAGAATTGGCTGCACCTCTCCAGTGTTGTTCCGAAAGAGTCACAACAGTGCTGGAAGGGGGTGTCTGGGAAAGTAAATAGAATTGGGTGGGAGGAAAGTAAACACCAGAATATTTTAATTTACTTACGTGGTAATTTGTGTGATAGCTCCTAACTAGCACAGCGCACACCATAGGTTCATTCTTGCTTTCTTTCTCTTTTCAGTGCTCGAGAACTGGAGCTGGAAGATAGGCAAAGCCGGCTACAGCAGGAACTCCGGGAAAGAATGGCTGTGGAAGGTAAGCATCAAGAGACACAGCAATCCAAGGAGTGTGCTCATGTACTTGTTTCCAGTCCTGGGTCCTTTGACATGTTATTTTTTTTTTTCTCCAGATCACCTGAAAACAGATGAGGAGCTGTCAGAAGAGAAGAGGATCTTGAATGAGATGCTAGAAGTGGTGGAGCAGAGAGACTCTCTGGTGGCCCTACTTGAGGAGCAGCGGCTTCGAGAAAAAGAAGAAGACAAGGACCTGGAAGCTGTTATGCTGTCCAAGGGCTCTAGCTTGAACTGGTCCTGAGCTAACATACTCACCTCAGCTGGTCTGTGCTACCCAGTTGGCCTACACTGAGTTTGCCAGAACTACCTGGATCGAGAGATCTTGAGTGAGGAAACCTTGCTAAGGGTTCTGCAGCATGCAGGAATTCAGTTTGAAGCACCCAGAAGCCTTCTGATAAGTGGCTTGGCTCTAGAGGCGTGGATCCCACACTATGTCTGCAAACCAAGCTGAAGATAAGATGGTGGCCTGAGATTGCACTGTGTCCTTGAGGTCCTATACAAGGGGCCATTAGGGTTTTGTGATGTGAGGCAAAAGGGTAAACTTTTTGTAGAGGAAGGGTTTAATACCTTTCAATGGGGGAAGAACCCTGACCCAAACTGGATTTGCTGCAATCTGATCTCTCTCCCTTTTTCACTACTAGCATTTTTTTAATAAGAGGGAGAGAAATGGCTACCCTCTCCTGAAACTACAGCAGCCTGTAGCAGTCCCTGGGGGAGTTAACCATTTAAAGGAGAGCTCTCAAAGGCCAGAGCAGCACCTTCTTTGTTTTGTTCTTCCTCCCCACCAAAGAAACAAACCTGAAGCGATTATTGTGCATGGATGTGAAGGATACTGGAAAGAGAAAACATTGGTGGCGTGTTTGTTTGAAACCTCTTCTGCCCATTCTGGCTTTTTTTGTACTCTCCAGAGTTGTGATTATGAGAAGGAGAGGGGAATTCTCCCCCACTTTGCTATACACTGGACAGAGAGCTACTGCTGGTCTTGTGTGTTCATGGCCACTGTTCAGAGGCTAATGAGTTTCTCTGTTTTGTTTTTTGTTGCGACCATTTTGACACTGGAAAATGCTTTGTGGGACAATGGTAAGTGTTTTGAGGGGGGGTCATTAAACGGCATTCCCTGGCTTTTAAACCAAGAGAGGGAGCCCCTTCTGGATGAACATTGAGACGCTTCAATTGTTTGGGTGTTTCTCCCTCTATTTCATTTTTGCACATCAGAAATGAAGCTTAAGACCTGCTTGGGCCCTCAGTCACCTTGACCCTTTTATGTCGATTAACTTATTTTTTTAATACTTGAAAGAAGATTCATTTTTGTACCTTTTAAGAAACAAATGGACAAGTGAGTGATGGGTGTTTGCCTACTGCATCCCACAACCTCTGCTTCTATGTTATAATACTCTTGTTACCTGTGGCTATTTATTAATATTGTTATTAATAATGTATTGTTACACTTCTTGAATCAGGGAGGAGTGTATGTTGTAACTCCAGGAGAGCAAGACACTACTATAGATTGGTTCCTGCTTTGCATACAGGGAAGAATTCATGGACCCAGGTATGCATCCTGTCCTGGCCTAGTCCTTTTAATGGTGAACTCTTGCATATCCATGGAGCAATGAAAAACCTGTAGTGTATATAACAAATCCCGTGTTCCCTCTCTCAGATCTCTGGACTAACAGCCTGTAAATTAATAGTTTGTAACAAGAAAGCCAAAACTGTGACCTAAAAATTATCCCCCCCCCACCAATCTCTGACTGGTGAACCCTGCCACTGTAAGAGCTATCTAGAGTGACATCCAGCTAAGCAAATTCAGCACAATTCTTTCTGCCTCTGCCAGTGTGGTCCTCTCCCAGAGCTGCTACCTTTGATCCAGGAGGATGCCCATTGTACTCCTACTTGCAGTAGTGGGCAGGACCTAATCCACATGTGTTTTTTTTAAAAAGAAGAAGAAAGAAAAACAATTAAAAACCAAAACTGGGGCCTTTTTTACAAAATAAAAAGCAGTAAAGGGCATACTTTGTATTTGAGTTCACTTACATTTTAAGAAAATCCATCACATAAGCACTAATTAAATGATTTATTTTTTAGAATGAAATATATAGACTCTCGTATCTGGGTGCATGTTTTCAAACTACCTGCTTTTGCAAGTGAATCCGAGTAAGATGTTCTAACTCTGTGAACTTGTAGAATGAATAACAACATGACTGTGGCAATGTGCACTGAGTGATATGTGCTGCCTTGAATGTGAGGATGGCAAGCCTGCAGCCTCAGAGAAATGTGCCTCTGTTAGTACAAGTGCATGCCTCCATTTTTGGTAACAACCATACCATGGGCTGGCTCAGCAGTCTGTGCAGTTTGGTGAAAGCTGAGTTTGGAACTTAAGTGCTATTTCTATTCCTAAACAGGCTGAGACTGGGAACATGCAGGAGGCAGGATACTCAGTCCCTGGGGAGGAAGGAGTTGCTGGCTTCAAACCGCTCAGATGTGGAGGGAGGATAATCCAGCCCTGGGCTAGAGGGACAGGTTCATCCTAATTTAAAGCCCTACCCTTTGCTAGGGAGAGAAAAGAATAAGAGGAAATGGGGTGAGACTCCTCAGCCAATTTTGGAGCAGTACAAATAATTTTAAAACTGATCTCCGAGCAAAAATCTCATCTCAGGAACAAGAATATCTTTTAATATGGATTCTTATTTAAGTAATTCAATGACTGCAAAAGCTGGCTTGTGTCCTGAGCACCAGCCCCTGCTACCCCTGTGATAGGTGGCCTGAAGTGGTTCTTTGAAAAGAAACTAGCATTTCAGATGAAAAATTAATTTTAGGAATTGGATGGGGTAGGGATTGATTTGAGATTTAAAAAGCAAACTGCATCAGCTGGTTATAATCTCTTAGGCTACGTCTAGACTACAAACCTTTTGAAAGAAAGCATCTAGACTGCAACCACTTCTTTCGAAAAAGTGAGTCGCTTTTTCGAAAGAGAGCACCCAGGCAGTCTGGATGCTCTCTTTCGAAAAAGCCCGGTTTGCATTCAAGAACGCCTTTTTTCAAAAGTGTTCTTTCAAAAAAAGGTGTTCTTCCTCATAAAATGAGGTTTACCATGGTTGAAAAAAAGCCACATTCGTTTGATTTAATTTTGAAAGAATGCAACTGCAGTGTAGACACAGGGGAAGTTTTTTAGAAAAAAGTCCACTTTTTTTGGAAAAAACAAAACAAAACAAACCCTGTAGTCTAGACACACCCTGAGGGTATGTCTCTGCTACAGGGAGGAGTGAGCCTTCCAGCCCAGGTGGACAGACACAGACTTAGCTCTGCATGAACTAGCATGCTAAAAATAGCACAGTGGACATTGCAGCACTGGCTTGCCAGCCATGGACCAGCTGGTCCAACCTAAGGATGTTAACTAGCAGTTAATTGCGTAGTTGATGGAATTTCCATCGACTAGTTGATGGGCACTTCTGCATTCCTCCTTTGAAATGTACAAGAGCCCCCAGTGGGATTTCAAAGGAGGAATGCAGAACTCTGCATGCAGACCTGGATCAGCGGGAAGTCCCACTGACTCTGGGCTGCATGCAGGTGCCAGCTTTGAAATGTACAGGAGTCCCCAGCGGGGGCTTTTGTGCATTTCAAAGCGGAAACGCCCTCATGGAGCCCAGGGTCAGCAGGGGGACTCCATGCTGCACTGCCGATTTGAAATGCCACGTGGAGCCACTTTGAAGGTACCCCCTCTTCCTCCTCCGCCCCCCCTCCCCAACCCCTTAGCTGCCTCTATCTGATGGAGTCAGCAAAGGGGAGGGAATCGATGAGTCAACTGGCTATCTGGTAAGTATTTGCTTATAGGATAGTCATCTAGTCTTTAACATCCTTAGTCCAACCCTGGTGGCTTGCTCCTACTGTCAGCGTTGCCACAGTGTCCATGCTGCTGTTTTTAGCATGAGAGCTTAAGCAGAGCTAGTGTATCTCTACTTTCATTGCAAGGCGCGTTCCAAGCTGCGGTATGGACATATCCTTAGTGCCTGATCCTGCAAACTATGTACTACTAAGCATATGACCACTGAGAAGAGCCCCTTCAGGGGTACGCTACACAGTAGTAAGAGCTATGTGTTTGCGGCTTTGGGCACTGAGCTAAATAGATAGTTCATAATTTTTCAAACCAACTGCTAGAATCTCTGCCACTTCTTCAGTTTCTCCACCATAAGGGGATTATCTTTCTCAGTAGCTCCTACCCCTTTTGAGGCTGCATCTCAGGGTTCTCATGCTGATACAGAGTAGGGCTGCATGTATTTCACTGTTAGAAAGTGCCTAAGATGCAAAGTTTCCTAATTATGAAGCTCTATAATATAAACAAACATTAAAGTAAATAAAAATACATATTTTATAAGACTTACCTTACAACTTTGAAGGTTTGCTGTACTTTCTAAAGGCAGTGCTGATCCCTTCAGCCCTATGTTAATTCATCCTGGCTTTTTGTTTGGTACTTAATTGTTTTTCAATTCTATTTAAGATATTTAACTTTTTTTGTTTTACTCATTTACTCTTCTTCTCACTGAGCTTAGGATATTTCATATTATAGCATAGTCTTCCAAGAATAGCTCCCTCCCACCTGAAGCAATGTGATTTCAGAGTTGTATGTCAGCAATGTGATCTCTGTTGGGACCTGGTGTACAGCCCTGCCAGGTGTGAACTGTAGGATGCAAAGAGCTCCATGGTTTTTAATTTCCTTTGTCTGAAAGAGACCATTAAAAACAGACCTTCAGGGCAGTATCCTTGGCTCATGTGGTCAGTAACAAAAGCTCCCTCCCTCTCCATTCCCAACACCCATCCAGTAATCCCGCCCTCCCCAGACAGTCTGAACTACAACAAAGCAGGAATAAATAGGGCCCTAATGTTACTCTAAGGAAAAACTCACTAAATCCTTTTCCTTTAATAGTTTTGTTGTTTGTTCATGACTGTATTGGTATGAGAAAAGTTGCTGTGGTTAAATAATCTAAATTTTATATGCCTGTCTGATGCACTGTGCCCTGATTCCTTTGACTAGTCCTATAAAATGAAATTAAATAATCCCCATCTTGAGAAATGGCTCCCTCTGCTACAGGTCTCTCTGCATTAGAGATGTTCCCCCAATCACTGGAAAGGTAAACATTCACAAACTGCCCATTCAATAACCACTTTCCCACCTCTTCCCTTGTGTCTGAAATTCCAGTAAAACTGCAATAGAGCTAATCTTGAAGAAAGGGTGCTGGCTCCTATCCCCAATGGAGGCATTGTGAGCCCCCAAAGCAGATGGTAACTAGCCATAGTGGGAGTGTGGCTTTCATGTGCAGAAGCTGGACAGAGACACCGTGTCCTAAATGAGATGATTAAGTCTTCATTGTTGAGGGATGGGAAAGTCTACGTTGGGGGCTGCTTTAGCTTTTTAAAGCAATCTGTGGACAAACAGGAGTCAGGCGCTCTCGGATGGAAAGAAGTGGTTGATTTCTGACTGCTGCAGTGTTGAGGTGCTTCTTCTTAGGATTTAGGGGAACAGGAAACAGTGGCTTCATATTTCTTAATGTACTTTTTGGGCTGAGCTGAAAAATAGCGGGGGCCTGATTCATGGAGGGGTAATGTATTCTGGGTGGAGTTAAATTCTCCAGTGCCTGGGATGAGGTTCCCCTGAAATTCTGAGCAGAGTTGGACTCCCCTTTACCTAGAGTAGGAATTCACACCCTCACTCTGAGGGGCAAATTAGATGAGGGCAACCTGTGCTCTGGGCTGGGATCAGATTGAAAAGTGGGGGATCATTCTTTCAGAGTTGCAACTTGGTGAAGCCACTAAAGGGTTGTGCCTTGTTCCTTCCCTATCCCATGCCTGCTCTGGAAATCATTCATCCAGAGGAAAACTGTGCAAGGGGAAGAACATGAATATCTTTTACCTTTAATTTCCAAATACAATTTTATCTTTTTAGCTTAATCAAAATCCCATTTGTCCAATTGGAACTAGAGAGTGGGCCTTCTTGTTGCAAGCTCCTTTGCTAAACATATATGGATAGGATTATAAAGCAACAGCAGATTTTAAAACAGTCACATGAATCTGTTTTCTCTCCCTCTGTTTTCAAATTTCCTGTAAATATTTTGTATGTTGGCTGTGCAAACACCAATGGATCCATCGTTCCCTGGCAGTTAAAAAAAAATAGTTTTGCAGTGTCCAGGCCTCCATCAAAACACAAAGCTTGCATAGAGCTAGTTAGCATGTTTGTCTGCACTCCAGAGAGTTTTTGATATTTTTATACATCTAAATCAATAACATTTTGGAGTATTTGAAAGATCTAGATTGCATGATCTAGAGTAGCTGTCGGTTCTGTTTTTTTTACCAGTTGATCTTTAAATATTCACTATCACCTCTTTTGGTTAAAACTTTTTAAATGAATTTGTGATTAACTGTTTACATGAGATGCTGATGGATAAGAAGTGTTGCATACTTTAATCTCAAATGTAACAATGTGAAAAGCCACAAGGTGGCTCTCAGGAGTTGGAATTGTTAACATCTGCAATAAAAAGAAGTCTCCCAGAGTACCATGAAATAGCTTGTATATAATTCATGGGAGAGATCATATCCTCCTTGACTGAGGCAAGGTAACAGAGATTAGATGTTTTCTGCTTTTGGAGCTGTTTAGGACGGTGCTATATAGGCAGGGTAGTTGAACAGACAAGGATGTCATGAAAGGTGTAGATGTGAAGGGGAAAAGGCCATGTTGTGATGGCACTGCAGTAATTTAAATAATCTCTCTGTCTCTCTCTCTCTCTCTATGTATGTGTGTATATGTATATATATATATATGTATATGTATATGTATGTGTGAGGTCCAGCCCAGTTGAAGAGATTTGCTTTGGCACCTTCCCATTGGGATGTGAGTGAACTCTGATATTCAGACTGTTCAAGGCTTTGTATAGTTGGTGAATGTGGAGTGTTAACAGGAAAGTGTGTACCCTATATGTATAAAACATCCACCCTGTCTGGTTTGGTTTGGTTTGGTTTGGTTGTGTGTTACTTTTTTTGTTTTTATGCACACTTGCTTTTGTTGGTGTTGAGATTTTAGCACCTCAAGTGGCCAACTGAACTAAAAAATAAAGTCATTCATTATTTTTTCTTTTTGTTGCTGAAGTTGCCATTTGTTCCAATTACCATTTATTTCTTCACTGGCTTCCATAATAGACTCTATAAAAGAGCAAATAAAGGAGCAAGAGAGGTTGATCCTATTATTAAGGTGAAGGACTGGGTACTGGCACTGCGTTCTGCTTCTGCCATGGAGTTACCTTGTGACCTTGAGTAAGTCACTTACCTTTTTACCCCAGTTGAAATATGTGAGGCCTTTTGCCCTGAAATACAACAAACAAGTATGCTGTTCTAATAAAGCCCCACACAATGGCCTATCCTTCCCCTGTCTTATACGGTGATGTCTAAGTTCTTCTCCAGGGAAGGAACTGGAACTGATGAAAGATGAAATAGTCTAGAGCCGTGGTGTCCCAACAGGCTGTAGTGAACTAGTCTCACTCATACAGCCAAATAGCCACATTATTCAAGCCAAATAGCTACACTCAACCAGACAAATACCCACATGTGGCTATTAGCTAATATATTGGACACCCCGGTTCTAGAGGGTGCTGGTAGGAAGAGATTGTAGGAGCCAAATTTATCCTAGGAACTGGCACCAGGTTATAAATCTGGGAGATGGGAGCTAATGTGCAAGTAGTATAGGGGCCTCTATTAAAAGAAATGTCCATTGTTCCTCAAGATGCTGCTGAGAGTGTTTCTGTCTAATGGAGAGTCATAGGGTGTGTCTAGACTACAGGGTTTTGTCGATAAAAGTGGACTTTTGTCGACAAAACTATACCTGCATCCACACTACCGCTGAGTTCTGTCGACATAACGTTGACAGAACTCAGCAGTTTTGTCGACGCTGGTAAACCTCATTTTATGAGGCATAACACCTTCTGTCGACAGAGTTTCTGTCGACAGAAGGTGTTATTGCATGTAAACTGTCCTTTGCGTCTACACTACCATGTCGACAAAGCAGCTTGCTTTGTCGACAGAACTCAATGTAGTCTAGATGCTCTTTGTCGACAGAAGTTTTGTCGACAGAAGCCTGTAGTCTAGACGTACCCATAGAGCCAGCAGGTGTGGTTCTCACAGCCACAGAGCAGCTGATTTTCCTTTGGAGTAATAAAATCAGAAGGAGCTGGCTCCATCTTCTACATTAACTTAGTTACATGGGCCATTGAACTACATCAAGCTCTGGAGCCCAGCCAAAAACTCCTCTGACTCTGCACTCATTCCATTGAAGATCTTTATTGCACAACACTGGTGCATGCTCTCATCTCCAGTCTCTCATACATTGTCATGGTGTGAGTGATGCGCAGTTACTCACTGCTTTCCAGTAAACAGGGGTGGGGAACCTTTTTTGGCTTGGGGCTACTGACACAGAAAAATCAAGTGAGAAGTGTGGCTCCCCAATGCTAGGGGGAAGCCCTGAGCCTCGGGGGCTGGATCCAGCCCCCGGGCCTTAAGTTCCCCACCTCTACATTAAATGTCCCTGTTCAGCTAGAGAATACTAATGCATTCCCATCCCTTCCCCTGAGTCTGCATTCCTAGCGTGGGCTGTCCTCGCTCCGCTTGCTGTAGGACATCCACTCCACCCTGCAAGTGACATCTGCTCTATTCTAGGCCCTTATACCAAATGCAATATACATATTCTGTTAGTTATACCAATGCACCCTCTGAACCCAGGCTCCTTGCTGGGTGCATCTTCAGGTCAGATTAGCTCCATAGTTGCAATGTCTGCAACAGATTGGAAGGGTTCAGAGACTAGTCCAGGGGTGAGCAAAACCCTCTCAGTGGGCTGGATCCAGCACGCCTAGGGCTTTGACCCAGCCTGTGAGGCAGGTTCAGGCCCCGCCATTCTAGCGCAGGTTGATACCTTCAGCACATGTGCCACTGGTGTCCAATTTACAGCAGCACAGGGGAGGGAGCTCAGCCCCACTCCTCCCCCCACACAACTGCTAGAGAAGTGCTCCCTGCAGCAGGTTAGGCTGCAGTGAAAGGAGGCACTGCTGGGGCTGAGGCTCCTCAGTGGTGCCTCGGCCATATGGTCTCTTAGTGACGCCTCCAACCTCCAGGGCCAGCCCAGGACAGCAGCAGCAGCACCTCTGGCCTCCAGGGCCGGCCCTGGACTGCATGGTCGCTGCAGCAGCAGGACCTCCCTCTGGGGCGGCCAGGACAGCATGGCTGCAGCCATTGCTGCAAAGGGGCACAAATTCAGGTAAGGTCTCCCCATCATCTCCAGATCCCTCCCTCACCCCAATTCCCTTACTTCCCTCCTCCTCCTCCCCCCCCCCCAAGACCCAGCACCCCCAGCTTGGTCCTACAGCCTCCCTTGTTTCTGCACCCTCCCTCCTGGCTAGACACCCCACCCTGCTCCTTCATCCACATTGCTCCTGCACCCTCTCTCCTGGCCACACACTGCACCCTCCCTTGTTCCTGCTCCTTCTACCTGGCCAGACACCCTACTCCCAACCTGCTTCTGCACCCCACCTCCCTCCCAGATCCTGCACCCCATCCATATCCCACTTGCTGGCCGCTCTGTCGCACACATGGAACCCCTCATTTTTGTCCCTACCCCGGAGCCTAAGGGGGGCCATAAGATCCACTAACTCCAGAACCCCAGAAAAGTAAATCTGGTCTATGGGAAACCCTGAACCTCAGTCCTCCCACCTGCCTCCTTTTCCCCTCACCCCATGAGGCTGGGGTACCAGAGGAGTGAGGTGTCTCAGCTGGGGCCACATCAGTGAGTGTAGGGGGGTTTTGGAAGAGTTTTTTTGCTTTTCACTTGTGTGGTCCTCAACTGATCTTTCTGTAGGTCAGTGACCCCCAACCCAAAAAGAGTTCTCCACACCTGCCATAAAGAAAACATTGAAACCTTTTGTGTTGGACATAAAGTTTTACTTTATTTAAAATTAAGTTTGATAAACTAACATGAGAACATTAAAACACTTAATTTGTTTAATAATTTAAATTAAACTGTCCTCATTAGCTGCAGCAGGTTCAGAAAATAAGGCCACTGTACCCAGCCTGCCCTTGCCTCCCTTCCCAACCCCTGCACTAAAAGATAAAAGATGCATCTTAATTCATTTATTAATGAAGCTGCTGTAAGTAGGACTATTATTGACTTTAAACAGTATCAGCAGCACTTGGACCAGTACATAGAGACGAGTAAGTCAAATCTCAGCACTCCACATCTGAAAGGTTGCTAACCCCTGCCCCAGCGCATTGCCCGGGAGCCGGAGATGCGCGAGCCCTTTCAACTGCTTCTATTTAAAGGGCTCAAGCTTGCTGGGTGGCTGCGTTGCCTGGCAGCCACCTGGCAAGCGCAAGCCCTTTAAATAGAAGCAATTGAAAGGGCTTGCAGGTCTTGGTCCCACTGGCCCGTTGCCTGGGAGGCATGAGCCCTTTCAACTGCTTCTATTCAAAGGGCTTGTGCCTGCTGGGCAGCTGCCAGACAACAGGTTAGCAGCGAGGCCAGGAGCTGCCAGCCAGGTTATGTGAATTCTAAGCCTCCACCCTAGATAACTCTGGGAGGAGGCTCGCCCCCAGCACCCTCCCAATTGCTCCAGGTCCCTTACATTGGCCAGAAGTTGGGGGGAGGGCAGGGACCCCAGGCTAAGCAAAGCTCCTGGCAGGGTAGTTCTCGTCCCACCCCTTCCGCCTGCAGCCACTTCCAAAATTTGTGAAGTGGCCCCCTCCCTTCCAAAATTATTGTCCACCCCTGGACTAGTCGCTTTGCCTTCAGCGGGGAGAGCCTTACAGTCTGAGTCTCACTTGTTTGAAAAGAACAGCCTTTGGCCCCAACTTGTAGGTCGTGTTCCCTTAATGAATGAGCCTATGTGGTAGAGCAGTGGTCTCCACTTATACCCAAGATAGCTTTTTAAATCTCAGAACAAGCAAAGATCTACCGCCCCGTCCTTCCTATAAGACCCCACCCCTTCCTTGAAGCCCCGTCCTCTCTATTCTCCTCCTCTCCATCACTGGCTATCCCCAGCTCTTATACGCTCTACACTGCCATTTTTTTTCCAATTCTTATGTAGGAAGAGGTTTTTTCAACATGTGGCCTGTCTAGACTGGACCAAATGTTAGAAAAACCCTTCTTTTGGGGATTCCCAAAAGAACGAGGAATATAGGGGTTACCAAAATAGCATGTTTGTTTTTCCACTAAAAAAAGCAGCAGAACAAATGCATCACTGGATGCGGAAGTTCTTCTCAATCTGCTCCCGCTGAGCTCTGCATGGAGACACCACACTGCATGACCCTTGGGGTCAAACTGCGCCACAGGCAGGGCCAGTAACCCTCTTTCCAGGGCTCAGAGTCAGGCCGCAGCCATAAGTTCCTCCGGGCACAAGCGTTTCACCTCCCCGCTTTTGCAGTGATGCAGGCAAGGATTTCCTTTTTCCTGACGCTAACCGCCCTGGTTGTGTGCTCTCAGGTGGAGGTTTGGGGTGCTGAGCAAGCCGCAGGCTTGTGGCTGTGAGGGTGCAGGGATTTGGGTTGGGCTATGTGAGGGGTTCAGGGGTAGAGGTTCCAGTGTATGATAGGCTCAGATTTAGGGCCTGGGGGGGGTGCAGGAGTGTTATGATGCTGCAGCCAGATGGGGGGTTGGCCCCAATTAGGGGGTTGTTGGCCAGGCTTCATTTTTAAATAAAATACTATGTCAAACACAAAGTTTCTGCATTGTCTTTATTTATGAGAAGGGCAGGGAACCTGTTTTGAGTCAGGGAGTTACTGACCCACAGAAAAATCAGCTGGGGCCACACAAGGGGGATGCAAAAAACCTCCTCCCCAAACCCCCCAAGCCTCACTAATGTGGCCCTAACAGTGCTTATGGGAGCAGGGGACATGGTACTGAGGAAGGGTCTAGTGGGTGCTGGGGCAGGGGACAGAGTGCTGGGGTGGGGGCAGGGTTCTGCAGCAGGGCACAGGGTGTCAGTGGGGGACAGGAGAGAGGGGACAGGGTGCCGGGGGGATGGGACAGGGTGCCAGTGGGGACAGGGAATCCCCTGCACCAGCCTCCTCCCAGGACTCCACCTGCTACCCCTCC